GAGGGGGGCGGCGCGCGTCGAACGAGGGGGCCGGGCGGCGGTGCCCAAACGGGGCATGGGAACGGGGTGGTCTGGCCTTGCTCGCCGCCAGCGCCTCGTGGGTTCTGGCGCGTGTCCAAAATTGGGCCCAAATTGTGCGGCGCTGCAGACGCCGCGGCGCCGCATTGAGTCGAATGAAGTAAGGGAACCCGAAACGACCCCCCTCCCTCAGAGCCTCGGGCGCTGACGTGCCGCACGCCGCAAGGCACCTGCACCTAGTAAGGTGTGCATTACTGATGCGCACCGTGACGGCGTAGGTGGCACCGGGGGTGACGGTCGTCGCGGCGGCGCCGCCGGGGCGCTTCACAATGTACTTGGTCGCCCTGATAATGACAAAGAATGGTGAGGGATGGGAGGATAGAGGGTGGACTGCCGGTGCGATGGGATGGGTGGTGGTGGTGGTGGTGGTGGTGGGTGGTCGGACGGGGAGGGGACACGGGGTCGAGCTGCGGGGGGTGGATCGATGGGATTGGGAACCTCAACGGGGGGCGGGGTTGCGGCTGCGCGGGTCGGGCATCTCTTTTCCAGGGCCTGGGGCGTCGTTCGTGGGCGCCCAAGCGCCTCAGTTGACGCCGAGGCCCAATTCGGCCCATGTGCAACTGTCCAGCATGGCACTGCCAACGTTCGCGCGGCCACCACGGCGCGCTCGGGCGCCAATGGCGCGCTGCTGCGTTTGTAAAGCTGTGGCCAAGCGCTGCACACATGGCCAGGCGTGACGAGGGACGGGATCGCAAACGAGCGATCGCTCGACCGCGACAAAAGGACGCGAATGCCGCCGCTCACTTGTCGGAAACGGGTGCCAGGTGGTTGCCCTCTGCGCGCGAATTGAGCATTTTCCAGAAATATTGCGTTTTGTGCCACATCAACGCCCCGCCTTTGGCTCAGTGCTCAGCTGCTCACCAGGCCCAGTGGGGTGAGCACCGCAGCCGTTCTTCTCAGCAACCCACAGGGTTGGGAAAGTGAAAGCCACCGGAAGCACCAGCAGCATGCACGCCACGGTGGAGAGGCGGAAGGCCATCTTTGCGAGACTGTGCGAAGCTTGGAACGTCACCAAGGTGCGCAGAATGATTCGTGCTACCCGCGCCTGATTGAGAGCGGCGATGCAAATCCAGATGGGACAATCATCGTATACCCCGCCTCGCAACCCCGCCATTCCCGCTCCACAGCAGTGTCACCCCGGCGTCACTCGCGGGTCAAGCAGCTGCACCACTCAAAATGCCTTTCGCTGCCCGGCCAGCACGCGAGATGGCCACGCCGCCAGACGGGCTTATGTTCACAGCTCCTGGCGCGTTTTGCCGTGGGTATGTAGAAAGAAGGGCTCGAGCCACGTCTCTGCTGTATCGCCCCTGGGGTCCTGCTCAACCCTCGACTGCTGCGGCTTCAGGTGACAGCCTGCTGCAGGCCTCACGTTTGACCACAGTCTGCCCTGGCCCACACTCGCGCCGCACACACTGCCCATCAGGCTTGCTGACAGAGGGAGGGGCTGCTGCTCTCAGCGCGCGACGCCGCCGTGCGGTGTGTGTACACAAGTGCGTGGCGTGTGGCACCTGGGCCTTGGGCTTTGAGAGTCTCGCTCCCACATCTTGAAAACCACCGCCTTCTAGATCAGCTGGCCTCCATCCAGTCACCACCCCCCCCCTCCACCACCATCCACTGAAAATCTCCTTCACTTGGTGGTCGCGGCGGCGCGACCGTCTCGGCCCCCGCAAAGCTAGCCCCCTCTTCCTATATGGATTGGGCGTTTGTACAGCCGGTGTAGTGTCCCTCTCTCTCTCCCTGCAATCACCTCGCAAACACGGCGGCACACTCATCATGACGTCATACCGCCTCCCTCCCCACATTCAGGAGCTGCAAATACTCCTGCAAAAACTCCCTTACTCTCAGCACCCTTTCACGCGGGCGTGCAAGATGCACGCATGCGTGCACCTCTCATGCACGCCGCTCGCTCGCAACATGCCCCAAGCACGCACGCCGCGTCCGCGGCACCATTCGCAAAAGCACGAGCCCATGTAATTCCAAACAAGCAGCTGGACACCTTCCCTGTACCCTGTAGGTGCACCCACAGCGTGCAGAGGCCTCTCGCGCCAGATCAGGCAGCTCACAGCGGCGCCGAATGCGCGCATGCACCAGCTGCAGGCGCCCAGTCGCACCGCCAGACACGCCAAATACAGCAACGGAACTTGCAAGGGCAGTGGGCGATCCTTCTGGGCATACAGGCGCATCGCGGTTCTTAGGCCATGACTCGCCCATCAAATGTCACATCATTCATACGGTGTCCTCGCCGCGCCACGCCGCGGGTGGCGGGCGCCGCCAAGGCGCCTGCGCGTTGGCGCCGCCGCGCGTGGCTCGTGCGGTGATCACGAGGCGCCTTCCCGGAAGCTTCACACGGCACTTCTCACAGTGCGCTTCACGCCGGGAACTTCATCGGGACGCTCACAGCACGGCGGCGATCAGGCCAGCCACTGCCATGGTGAAGGCGCCGGCAGCCGTGGTGGCGGCTGAGCTGGTCGCCTTCTTCACATAGGAGAGACGGGGGGGGGGGGTGTCAGCTGCGCAACCAGGGTAGGGCCTATCGATTTGCCAGGGGTCTGCAGGTGGCGCTCAGGGCAATGTCATTATGCCACTGTGCGCCGCGCGTGGCGGGGCCTTGCGACAAGAGGGGCAATCGTGGGATGCGTGATGAGACCCGTCGCGGGGTTGGCAGGGGCGACCCCAGGCAGCTAAAGGCCCCGTGATGTGTGGGCCAGACGGTCCCCAACGGCATGGCGTGGAATTGCGGGCGGCCGGCCGCTCTCAGCTGTCGGCGTGCCTGTTTCAACCACTACAGGTGCGCATCGCAGGCAGTCAAGCCGCGGGCGGCTGCGCACCGTGGAGCCCCCAGAGCCGGAAGAACCGGCGCCAGATGAGCCGGAGGAAGACGGGGAGGCGCCGCTCGAGCCCGCGGCGCCGCTGGAAGGCGAGCTCGAGGGGGAAGGCGAGCTCGAGCCCGACGAGCCCGACATGCCGGACATGCCGGACGAGCCGCCCGCGCCGCCGGCGGCGGTGCCGTCGGCGTCGGGGGAGCCGGCCGCGCCGCCAGTGGTGGAGGGAGAGGCGCCGGCGGCGCTGGAGGAGCCGCCTGAACCGGACGAGGTCGTGGTGGGCAGCACGACGGCCGCGGGCACGGCGGCGCGGCCGGTGGCGGCGGAGCCGTTGTCCGCGCCGGCGGCGCCGGCTGGGGCGGCCTGGGCGGCGAGAGCACGCGGGGGCGGTTTGGTTAGGTGCGTGGGCTGGGAAAGACTGGCGAGCGATGAAAGCGCGAGAAAGGGGGGGACAGATGGATCAGTAGCAGAGTGCTGTATGGCGTGGGTACGCAGGAACATGCGCGAGCTCCGTGCAGTGGGCATGCTGGCGTGCGGAACACCCGTCAAAAGCGTGCACAGGGCCAGGAGCTGCCTGTTGCGGCGCTCACCTTGGGGGCCGCGCCGTTGGTGCCGTTCTTGGCGGCGCCGGGGGCAGCCTTGGGAGACTGGGGGCGCGGGAGCACAGTGCAGGACGGGGCGAGTCAGCGAGGGCGGCTGAGGGAGGGGGGGCGCACCAGCCTAAGGAACCGAAGTGCGCAGGCGCAGGCCCAGGGACAAGGCGTTGGCGTGCAAAGACAGCACGGAAGGGCAGCACAGTACCACTCTCCTCGACAAGTAGAAAACGAAGCTCTCACTCATTCAACAGTGGGGAGGCCGAGTTGAAGATTGTGCAGTTGTGCTGATTTTACCTATCCCAAGTTGTGCTGATTTTACCTATCCCAAGTTAACATCCCAAAAATTTTCTTCCCATAGCATGGCACGTATAGCCACAGCAGCAACCCTGAAAAAAAATCAGGGGTCCAAATCCTCTTTTTGCTGGCGCGCAAACGTGGTCCCCGGCGCATCATTTCGTGTTGTGTAGGAGGCGAGTCTCAAGGTTTTGCCATCAAAAGCTGTATTGGTTCCAACCCAGTCACGTGTATCTTCTCACGCACCCCAGCAGGCTTGGCGGCAGCACCGCCAGCAGCGGTGTTGTTGGCGCCCCCGGCAGGCTTGACGGCGGCGGCAGCGACGGCAGGCTTGACGGCGGCGGCGGCGCCCTTCGCGGCGGCCTGCGTCGCGTTGGCGCCCAGCTTCACTGCGGCTGCGGCGGTGTCCGCGGCCGTCTTGGCGGCGGCGGCGGGGGTGCCCTGGGTGGCGTGGGAGGGTGGTGGCGGTCGTGTGGGGCGCCCCGCGTCATGGTGGAGCTAACGCTGGGCTCGCACATTGTATGGCGTCACGGCCGGAGGTCTCCATAGGGCTGATTGGGCAATTCAACAGCCCCAGTGAAAGACGCACTAGTGGCGGCCACGCAGGCGCCTCATGGCGAGCTGTGTTGGCTGCCCCGTGAGTGAGGCGCAGG